GAGAGGCGAGGGAGGGGAGGGGGCGGGGCCGCTGGCCGGGTGGGCCTCTCGCTCTTTCCGGAGATGAAAGCGAAGCCGCCGCGACTGGAGGGCGGCGGGCGAAAGGGGACTCGCACGGCCTCGGAAGGGCAGGTCCGGGAAAGCCCCGCAGAGCGCCCGAAGAAGTGTGGAGAGAGATGGAGAGAAACCTGATTCTTTCCGCTTTCATTTTTTATATTGTATTTTTCAGCACAAAGAATGGTTTCTCATTTTGTATTTGCATTTCAAATACCTTACTTAATCTGTTTTAACTACTACGGAAGTTTCGTTTTTCTCGTAATCAGCTACAAAAACACCATAAGAATAAATAGAGATAAAAATAATGTATAAGAAACTAGTGGAGAGCGGAAAATTGTATTAGAAATGCCGTTGCGTCAAGGTTATAATGCAGTTGAAAGCGAAAGTATAGTCTTAAACTATACAGCGCACGCGTAATTATAGACGAAATGTAGGTATGAAATAGGATATCAGTGATGACGCTTCCATCTCAAGTATTTCCAGAATATTCGATTTGTTTTGTCGCCGTCCGCAGAGTAGGCTTCTTCACTTTTTGGGCCCGTCTTCCGCTTTATTTTCATTCTCTGGAAACCTGTTATATACGGTAAAGGGATGTATTCGTTCTAACCACACGAACCCCTTACCCCATGGCCGAAAGGATGGGTCTCCGGTTGATACTTGCCGAAGGCCCGTATGGAGCCTGTGGACAGAGCAGGACAGGAGACACTGTTATCTAATGACACCTCTAAGTATCAGCTGCTCAACCTAGGGCATTTAAAATTCAATAACGAGTGGGTAATTAGCCACTTCTTGTCTCAAAAAGGAAATATTTCCTCTCGTTGATCAATATTATTCAATTTACGGCGTTCAGCTTAAAGACCTCTCAATTCGGCTTTCCTTCCTGGAATCGAATTTGACATTGTTTTTACTTATCATTGGATCTGTCCGAAACTTTAAAAATGTTCCGTCTTATTAATTTTGATCACTTGAGTTAGACATAAATTACGGACTCAAGTGAGCAGTCAGAAAAATAAGTATCAAGAGTTGAAAAAAATTAAAAAACTTTGTGAATGTTTTGCACTCAAAAATATTGTGTAAACGTTTGAACATGCCCATTGGGATAATTTCACGTTTTTACTTTCACTTAATTGTGCAACCGGTTTATACCGGTTTCGCTCACTCCCTTTTAACGTAGTACATGGGAGACATTGTTATCCATCGACTGTCTCAGAGAGAGAAATAAATTAAGACATTTATGTATAATGTATTGGGCTTGTATGGATTTTATAGGAATGGTGTTAATTATAACCAGAATGTTTCCATTGCAATGGAATCCCGCATTGATAAACGTCACCAATGTTTCAGGATAAAAAGAGGCCGGTTCCAATAAATACTGAAGCATCTCATCTTCACTAACAGCCACGAAATCGATTTTTGAACTAGCAATCTACTTTTTGCAGAAACAAAAATGTTTGCATTCCAATCATTCCTTTCTGTTGAAAATTAACATGTAGCTCACAAATTGTATTGCTATGGATAGAAAAAGTGAGCGTCCATAAGTTGAAGACGATTTATTACGAGGTCATTTTAGTAACGGGCACTGCAAGATTCAATTAAGCTTGCTTGGTTCATTTTTTCTTTTTATATTATATCTATCGAACATTTATAATCTCTTTAATAATTGAAATAATCAGTAAATACTATGTAAAATGAAATTTACAATACAAAAAATGAAATATATTCGCAAGTATCAAGTATGTCACTCATTGGTACTTTTCTTGTCTTTATTAGCAGCATAAAAAACTTATTGCCAATATTAGAACATTTATAGGAGCATGCAATAACAAAAATGTTGCTGATATAAACGTACAAAATGGTTTTCCAAAATTAGCATGCATCCTACTCATGGTCAATGCTTAAAATACTCTCTAATAATACTGCAATAAATGAAATATTTCCAAAAAAACAAAAATAATTCAAACAAAGAAAACAACAACAACCAGGCTTCATGAATACGTGTTGAGTACTCAATCGTGTTGAGTATACTAAGGAAAAATACACAGTATAAATTATGTATCTAAAGTGAATGTTCACTACACAGCAGTTCCTAATATAGGAATAATTTACAAAAAATATTGCCGTCTATAACGCGAATAGGAAATATTTAATAACATGGGATTTTTTCTTGAAGCCTCACTATCGCTGTATCGTAAGAGGAGAAGCACTGATTATCAGAAGTCGGTTGGTACGCACAGTTAGTAACAAGCGAAATGACACAAACAAATATTTGCATTCTCCACTCAAAATCTGATCTATTTCATTGTTTTCGAAGATTTTCGGGAGTTGCTGGACATCCATAAAAAATGTAGACACCACTCATACTTTGAGACGATATTTTCCTTTCAATTTCTGCGCGCTTTATAAATTGGCAATGTAGAATATTGACAAACGAAGGGTTCGGGTGTAAAGCATGTTAACCCTCGTGGAAACGTTTGCGAGATAAGCAAGAGAACATTTCTGCTGAAAGGGTTTAAATATATCTCTTAAAGATCACAATGCCGGTCCGGATGACCGAGTGTGCAGTAGCGATCTCCGACCGAAGGATCGCGGGTTCGAGCTCCGCCTCGGGCATGATTGTATTTTTGTTCGTTCTCTCACACCCCATCACCACCACATCATGTCATCATCACAGCTACCATACCGTTAAATGCAATAGTGGCCGCTAATGACCTAGATGTTGATGCGACCTTAAATAAAAAAGGAGGACAATTATGCGCCATAAATTAAACTATTTGAGAACGGGCGGACAGCTGATAAAAGCGTACGAAAATGTGAACATTAGAAAAGCTGACTTTGAGAGTTACCGTATGTTCCTTCTGAGCGCGTCAAATATTAGCAGCAATTGTTGGCGCTCGTGAGAGCGAGGAGGCGGGGCCGCAGGCTTCGGCTGCCCGCCCGCGCCCGCCGCCGGCCCGCCCGCCGCCCCGCCCCCGCGCGCCGCCGCCCGCGCCCGCGCCCAACCCGCGCGCGCCGCACCCTGCCCGCGCACGCTGCTCGCGCCCGCCCGCCGTCCGCCGCCGCCCGCCCCCCCTGGCGGCGCGCCCTCGCCAATCTGGCGGTCAAGGACTTCAGTCTCGCCCCGAAATAGCGCGGGCGGCAATTAATCATGCACTTCGCGCCCACCTGCGGCCACGCCCCTGCCCCCTTCCGCCCCTCCGCGATGCGTCGACTGGCAAGTCGCTCCTACCTCACCGCCGGACAGGCAAGACTGACGGAGACAAGGAGGTTGTGCGAACGGAAAGCTAGAGGTGTTACGACAGGGCACAATTTCTCGCGTTGTTGTTAAGGCTTATAGTAACGCAATATTATACTACTACGTGAAACGAAGTATTTCCCAAAAGGCAAACATTTTTTTCTCCGTTCTACATTCGAACTCAGTTTCATGAAAATGTCACCATGTGCTTTACAGTTATACCATTCTCATATTTTATCAAGGCTTAAGAAATTAATGCTCTTCCATTATTTCAAACTTATGAAGCATCGAAAATTGAAAGAATTCAATTTGGGGTCACTTTTGAAAAACATAATTGCATTAATTTCAATAAGAAATTATCCGAAAACTATTGTTTAAAAAAGTTAATGGCCTAATTAAATGATCTAAAATTCTTAGAATTTTTTATCAAATGCTTTTAAATCTAATGCTTTTAAATCTAATGCTTTTAGAACTTTGCCATTTACCAAAAATAACTCTTTTATCAAAATTGTGCTTGAGAAATGATTTTTTTCTGTGAAATTTGTGAATACAGAGAGTTCGCCGAAATGAGAACAGCACCACATTTTCCCATCCTTTGCTATAAAATACGAGTAGAAAATTTAAATAAAAAAATTAGAGCCGTTTTTGAGAAATTTATTGTTTAAAATTGCCTATATTTCAGGCAAAATGACGCGAAAACTGCTTATACTTTCGAAAAATGGTTCCTGAACGTATTTTTCAATCTATCTTTGTACAACAGATTTCATCTCGAACTTCAATAATGGTGTTGCAGCAAGACGTCGAAAAATTTTGAACTTTTGCAATTATCAAAAATTCAGGTATTTAAAAGAAAAGGAGAATTGCGCCATTTTTTAGCGTTCTCTGAATTTCCTAGGTCAATGCTTAATAAAAAAAACTTGAAGGCATTTTCGAGAAAATGTTTCCATATGCTACGAAGCACGCTTATCTAGTAGCTAGTTTTTACTTACATCATCAGGAACAATGACTACAAAATCGCTTTTACTGAGTAAGAACAAATAAACAAACAATGTTTAACCACGTTGCTCTCAATTTGTGTGGAACAATAAGTCAGTATAAAAATATATCCTATCGTCTTTGGTTTTGAACACGTCAGAAAAGGAAATATCATTTACCTTACTATTCATCCTAGGTCCTGTAGTAATAAAAAGTTTTTAAATGATCATTTTTTCTATTACATTTTTATTTATATTTTTTACAGGAAATTTTTAAAATTTCATTTATTTATAATAATTTTAATATTTTCTTGGTGCTTTTATAATATTATAAAAATACATTTTTCGTTAGTTAATTGTAGACTTTTCCTGTATCTGGAAACATTTTATCTCACATTTAGTATAATATACATTTTTAAAATTGTCTGTTGCAATTTCTTCTTTGCAACTAATTTTCCAGTTACATTGTTTTGTTGAGACCTTTCTGCTCTGCACTATCCCGCCCTTGCAATCTTCTTGCCCGCTTGTTAAGCTATTTGCAAGTCTGATTTTGCCCGGCACGAGTCTCCGTTCCTACTGACTGTAAGTAGAATATCCGGTTGCTTCTGTATTCAGACGTCTGGGAATGATATCACCTTGTTTGACGATCTCGTTGTCACTAACACACTATGCATGCACTGTGTGTCAAGTAAGGCAACTGAGCTAAGATTGACAAGACGATTTGACTGTACCCATTCATGCACCCAAACGCCGAAGACGAAAAAGGTAAGCTAGTCTTAGAATTCTAGTTCAGTCTACTCAACCAATGATCACACCATTACGAGACATTGCACTCCTTGTTTTGCGATTTGCACTTCTCTGTTTCCCCACTTCAGAGTTATGTAGAAACTAAAGCTGACCTTGTTGCCACAACCTCATCCACCGATGTCTGTAAATGTGAAATCATCCATTCAGATTTATTATGAAACAGTTTATTATTTATGTTTTAAAACTTTAAAGTTTCGAAAATTCTCTTGATGCAAATGATATTCTTTACATCTTTATCCGGCGCTTATTCTTTAGAGCTTTTTCCAAGTGTAAGTCAATTTCTTTATATATGTAACATGTCTTTCTAATGCGATACACCTATCTCAAAATATATATTAGACACTTGTTCATTTGCAGGATTCTGATGTTTACAACGGACGCGAATCTATACATTTTTCCACGTAAATTTTCATAAATTCATTTTCAGGTTTTAAAAAAATTAAAAAAAAATTATTTTATCGGATTTTTTTTAACAAAAAGAGCATATAGGGAATCGTGAGTGCCATAGTAATACGTAATTAAACCTATAATATATTTAAAAATATCCGTATCAATAATTGTTCTGGGAAACAAAATGTACGTTGTACTGTCTGTCTGTTCGTCAGTCTGTCCGTTTGGTTCCACAATATCCAACACCTCATTGCTTTAAACATTTGCTAAGAAAAAACTGAAGATCATCCACGTGCATTGAAGACGGCTTTGACTCTTCGGTTGATTTCGGGCGACATCATGAGGTCATTCATATGAAACTTTACGTTTACCAGCACGAGTTCGGTAGATTGAACGAAAACGGCCGGAAATTTTGAGAAAAATCTGCTGCACTGTGACAGCCGCCTTAGATCTCCAGGGTCGTGAAGCTTCCGCACCAGACTCTGAACTAAAGGCACCAACTCACCTAGTGCACTATGCACATGCCAGGGAGGTACGAGATGCATGGAGAACTGTCAAGGTCGATGCGAGGGGCGGGAGTCCGGGGGTGGGGTAACACGTCGAAATCATCCCTCCACGCAGTTGATCACTTCGCCACACGAGTGCAGTTGGCAGTCACCTTGAACGCTTCACACATGAAATAGATTAGCCGGGATTTAGATGAAGAAATTTAAGAAAGTTTGTTGTTGTTATTTTTTAGTTATATTTTGATTTTGAGTACATCTTATTTATATTTGATTCCACTTAGGTAAAGTCAGATTATAGAGATCCCAACGGACCAAATTCGTAAAGTATTTCTCAAAATTTCAATAATTAATTGAACCCCGTGTTTTTTTAGCAAATTTGTTATTGAAAATGCTAGTTTAGAGACATATTCGTTAACATACATAGATAGTATTAGAGTAGCACTATCGAATAAGTTTGGAAGTTGTGATTTATCGTGTACCTTATAAAATTCTATTACTCAGCTTTTTGAGAGCAGGGTTACTACTGATAGTTTCCTTTTTGACGCTAGTTGCGCAGAGAAGCTCGTAGCATTCCACGGTGTTATGAAGCGTCCCACTGCTTCCAGTAGGACACCTTGACATCACTGCCATATACTATTTTTAATCGTGCATAACGTAATGGAGAAACGTGATTGTGTCCGTTTCTCCGGATTAGATTTTTAATTGTTTTTAATTGTTAATTAAACCAAAATGTGTTTTAGACATATTTTTAGAAAGTATTTGCATCTATTATTTTTATGTAATGTTCCATGCCTGAGTATGGAGGAGGGAGGCCACTGTATTATATTTTTTAATTTTTTATTATTAACTTGCATCGCAAAAATACAAGTTTTCCACCTGAAAAGACCCTCCAGAGGCAGCTCGCGAAGCTACATTCAAGTATGTATGTTCTGTGCCAATGCACTTGATTTTAAACGGTCAGCATGAACGTGCAAAATTTGTGTTCGGATCCTTGGAAACACTCGCGCTGACCCTGTGTTTGCTCCTTCTGTTGCAGCAGCGCATCCAGCAGGACGCGTCAGCGGCGGCGGCGGCGGCGCTGGGGGCGGGCGCGGGGGCGGGGGCGGCGGGGGGCGGGCGGGGGGGCGTGCAGCGCGCGCATCGGGGTGAGCGGCCGGGGCGCCCCAGCGCCCGCGCAGCGGCGCCGGTGTGCGGCTCCGACGGCGTCACCTACAGCAGCCGCTGCCAGCTGCTGCGCGCGCAGTGCAAGGGCGCCGCCGTCACCGTCAAGCACAAGGGCCCCTGCAAGGGTGAGTGCGCTCGGGCTCGCCAATTCATTCTCTGCAGGTGGCCAGGCGCTTCTCTTTCTGTGGCCGATAGCTCCGTTTGATTTTTTGGTTGATTAGTGAGAATGTGCGTGTGTGTGTGTGTGTGTGTGTGCGTGCGTGTGTGTGTGTGCGTGTGCGTGTATGCGTGTGTGTGTGTGTGTGTATGCGCGCGGGTATGCCAACGTCTAAAGTCATTAGTACCATAAGAAAAGCGCCTGTCATTTGCTCGGGCGGTGGCGGTGATCTCCCTCCCCCTCGCGTATTGGTGAGATCAGATGCCGATCTACGTCGACTTGCGGGGATTTTCCTAAACGAGGAATCTCTCGCCAGCAGCGCACCGCCCCCACCGGGACAAGCTCTAAGCTCCCGAGCGGTCTCCCTGCATGTGCGGTAGTGTAGTGTATGCAAGTGTAGGTGTATGTGAGGAATTCGATATTTCAAGGAATGGGAAGGAAAAATCGCGCGCGGTCCGTTGCCCGTGTGTTGCTCCGGCATTCGCCTGGTATTGATCGGAGACACCACGGAAAAGTACCGAGCAGAGCAGTCGTTCGCTAGAATTCTCCTCAAAATAGCGACTGAACGCGACCTAGGTATCTGAGTCGAAAATCCTGCTATAGTCCGGTCTCGAGTCTGGGATCTCCCGCTCTGCGGCAGCCACATCAGCGATACATCTCTCCTGGTCCCCTATTAGCTGCGTACGAGCAATACTTGTCATATTGTGGGAGATAGTGTTGATTCTTCCCCGCTGGAACAGAGTGTCCGAAGCTTAGTCACTCGTCGGCGTCCGGGTTTTCTCCTCCACGTATATCCTCTATCTCCGCTTTGTGAGGTAATATAACGCGTGTAAGCGTGTGGATATTGGGGAAGGATATTGGACAAGGAAGAGGAAGGAAAAATCGCGCGCGGTCCGTTGCCTGTTTGTTATGGGACTGCTGCAGCATTCGGCTGTACAGATGAGAGAAGCCACTGAAAACTACCGGTTAGAGCAGCCGAACAATTGAAATATCCTCCAGATAGTGGTTGAATTCGACATCTAATTTGTTAGAATCGAAAATCTGCCATCGTGGGGACTCGATCTTAACTTCTCCTCAATTAACGAGGTTAAGAAGCAACGCCAATCCTACCTTTGAGCCGTTTCATCCGATGCTTGTCACCAATCGCACTGACGCACTTTTATTGTTTTTATTTTTCTATGTTTACGAAGTTAAATTCGTTGATTTCGCCTTACACAAACACAACAAAATTTACGCTATTAAGAAGATAAATTTAAAAATATGAATACAAAATTATAAGTATAAAATTATTGGTTTACTAATTATAATAAAATATTTTTCAGTATAAAAATATTACATAAATTTATTTTTCAAATGTAATTCAAATATAAATAAAATGATTCAGAAAAAAGCAGAGAAAATGTTGGGTGGAAAATATTCGGCAACGAGAAACTACAAAGGAATGGATTAATACGCTATTTTTTTAAAGTTTCTCTAACGTTCGAAGAAGTTATACACATTTTTAAGCGACTTGATCACTAGCATACAGGAATATGTGGGTAATTGTGGCTCATCTCCATTGTAACATGTTTGTGCTAGAGCCTAAAATTTTCGCAAATAAAATATTGGTAGTTATATGTAATTTACGTACTTCATTTGCATAATTATTCTCTTGACTCATAGTCGCCTCACGATCTTCTTACATCAATTGCAAATCAAATTCAATAGAATGTTTTGCGCGAGAGACCTTCGGCTGCCAACGTAGGGCGGCGAGGCGTTGGTGATCACGTGACTCCGCGGCGTCAGTAAATAGTCTCAAAGACGCGAGGAGGAGCGCGCTCCTCGCCCCGCGCCGATGGCAGTTCGTAAGCTCCGTGTACACCGTACGGCTTTCGTACAGATTCTCATACAGGTTCTGTACAGAAACTTCAAGATCCCAAACTGGAAGTAAAAAAGCCACAAGTCGCGCATACACGGTTTGTGTGTTCGCTGCACGAATCGCCGCAAGACGCCGCTAGGGGGCCTACAGGGTAACAACTGAATTGCACCGTCCAAGTACGTTCAGTAGCGGTGTTTCTGTGCTTGCGTTGAGCTGTGTGATCTTTATTAAGTATTAATTAAGCATGAGGGGCATAGAGAAGAAAAAGGGAATAGGGAAGGAGGTAGTTTATCACAATTTCACGTCACACAAACGCCTCTTGACACCTAACAATTAAAAAATCGAAATGGCCCATTACCATGGCGACGGGTTAGCGCTTCCGCCTCTAGAGGCGCGTGAGTCAAAATGTAAGCTTTCTGCATGAAAAAATTACGAACATGCTCAAACTTTTTCATGAAGGAAACTTGCTGCAGGCTGAAGAGAGTGTGACATGACACATTGACTAAATGTAGAGAGGGCGCCGCGTACGCATTATTATGTCATAAAGAGACATTTACCGAAGTAAATAAACATTCTAGTGACAATATACTTTTATACAGAAAACGTACATGTTTTATTCATGTTAAAAAGAAATAAGCAAAAGTATCTCTTGAAAAAAAGAAAACACTAACAACTTTTTGCTTCTATGGCGGAGTCAGAGCCTCCTGCCTCGTGTCCCTCCCTCGTCGGGCTTCTTGGCTGCTTTCACAAGTTCGCGAACGTCAGGGTTTGTTGATGGAGGCAACGGCAAAAAGGTACGACAATGACGCACTGGATCGAAATTAAAAAAACAACTCAACAATTAGGTGGTATTATTTCCAATTTTTCACCGACTGATCAAATATTAACATTTGTATTAGTTAATCAAATATAGTACGAGATGTACACGTTTCGTTAAAATACATTATCAAACAATATTTCTGCTTCTATGCAAAATTAAACATTAGAAATGCGCCGTGAAGAGGTAAAATTTATATTGACGAAATGCTAGCCAAATAAATTAAAAATGTAAATGCTAAATAATTTATGCTTCGATCCACTTGGTTGGTCATATGTTCTGCAATTTATTAGATATTTATATTATTGTATAAATAATGTAAATATCAAGACGGAGATAATTGCCTCCCCCACCCACTTTTTTTGTGGAACACATCGGGGTACTTTTGTGAAACACCAACTTTTATAGTTCTCACCCGCGCGTTTGTGAGATGGTTGAGTACAAATACTCCAGAGTCAGAAGTTTCGCAAAGAGAAGAAAACTTCAATTGAACACCTTCAGATGCTTGTTTCCAACAGAATTCTCATCATCCATTTCACAAATCGGTTCGTTCCATACCGTAAATGCACGTAATTATTTTACACGTACCGTAGAAATTACTGTTGCCCCTCAAGAATGAAGAACGTCACTGATTCATCATTTTCTCCTACACAAGATGGAGATGGGCAGCAGATGATTCACTCGCGAGCTGCGAATGACCAACGGATCCCGCTGCGTTTCCTGGGGGAGGGGGAGGGGCGGCTCCGGTTGACCGCAAGCCGAGCAGTCGCGCGCGCCAGAGACGCGCTTCCGAGAAGCACTGGGCGGAGCGATGCCGGCCTCGGCTCAGCGGCGCCGCCTTCCCTGCTTCCCGGCGCGGCGATGTAGGGCGCTGGTGCACTCGTCGACGTTGCAGCAATCGAAAGGCCTGTCCATCTTCTGCGCATGCACAGTTGGCGTTTAGCACCACCAGCGACGTAACATTCGGGCCCGCAATGACCGGGTAATTGGGGCCCTATTTTTAAGCTGGAGGTTTTGCAATTGTAAGGTAGTAATTACTTGCTCTGATAATTTGCAATAGGTGATACAATAAAAGATTCAAAACATCTTTCGGAAGAACGATTTTTTCCCACGTAACGCGTTTCTATATCAATAAAGGTAAGCAATTCATTTAGGTGTAACAGTCTTAATTTCATAAAATTAAATATTTGAGCCATATTTTTCTACTATTGGTTACTAGCACTTCACCCTTGTTAATAGTAAACACGACACACAAACTCTTTCCATTGTGGTTTAGGTTTGAAGCTTGCTATTTTATGTGATAACGCTCAGACAAGAGCGTTGCCGACAACGCTTTTCATGAATTAGGGATTGATAGCATCGTCGTGCCTTGTATCACCTTGTTTAACGCTTCAGTTAATGTGCCTTGAATGAGATTATGCATTGCTAAAGTATCGCGGAAGAGTTTAAAGAAAATTAGTTTTGTCAATATTTTATACAGAAGGGGCCCCGATAAAAGGGATTTAAAATTCATTTTATGAAGGGGGCCTGGATATAAGTTTTGCGGGAGGACCCGCACTCATATCGTGACGCTCCTGAGCACCTTATTTGTTTCCCTGCGCAGAAGATTGAGGCTGCAGTCGGTCGCTGTCCGCTATGGCGCCACAAACTCCCTATCGGGCAGGATCCGATCTCGATCGCGGTTCCCGTCTTGTTAACCAGCGAACCTGCGTGCAAATGCCGCTGTCGTCCTTTGCTTCACGCGAAGCTCCCGACCGCTCTCTCGGCATGTGTGGTAGTGTGGTGCATAAAGGTGCAAGTAAGGAGTGATGATAGGACTAGGAAAGGGAAGGAAATATCGCGCGCGGTCCTTGGTCGTTTGTTAGGGTACTGCTTCGGCGTTCGCCTAGTGTCGATTGGATAAACCACAGGAAATTACTAATCAGGAAAGCTGGACTTTAGAAAGCGACTGAATTCGGTCTAGCAGGAAAGCTAGCGTCGAAAATCCTGCCACCGTCGGCACTCGAACCCCAACGCCTCCCGATCAGAGACACTGCAATGACATCAGTTGATCCCGAGTCACTTCTCCAGGAATGCGCACTGGCCACAGGCTTCATGAGCTCAGTAGTTGACGCGCTAGAAAACAATATAATTAGCCAGTTAATTAAAATGATAAATTTGTCAATTTAAACCTGACTCGAACATCTCCCGTAATTAGTTTCTACTCACAGTTTATCACCCATCACTTTCCGTGACATCCGTAAAATTTCACGTCTGTAAAATTGCTATTTTAGACATCACTTTTCATAAATAA